ATTGTGGGATTTATAAGGCTACAAGGGCCATATTAAAATCAAACAAACAAAAAGCCATATTATTTACATCGCTCTACTTGCCTTCTGTTATATGAGGGCACATTCCCAAATTCCAAATTCTGATACCGAGAGACCCACCTTGTCAAAAATACATTCGTTCTGACAAACACTAAACCTAACCCTAACACAAACTAAACCTAACCCTAAGCATAACACAAACCCTAACTCTAACTTTAACCTTTAGCACTTAATCCTTGACCAAAGCTGTTATCACTATCCCTAACCCTAAATCTAACCCTTAATACTTAATCTTTATCACAGGCTTTATCACATTACATCTCACGCTAACCTTAACACAAACAAAACAAACAACAACAGATAGATATATTCTTTCTCTATTTCCTTTCTGAATTTTTCTAACTACTAACATGTTTCAGTGTGTTGTCTTAGTTTTCTAGGTCAGCCATGCAAGGCAAAGCAGATTAATTTGGCACAGAGTAAAGAATATGAACTTTGGATTTGGGCAAAGCTAGGTTTTTAATGCATATTTTTACATTTAGTAGTGTGAAGGTAGGCAAGTTTCTCAACCACTTTGAAAGCCTTTTCTCGCTTTTAAAAAGAAAAAGAAACAAAGTAATGGTTTTATTCTATTTTACATTCTACACACCAGCCCCCAACCCCCCCCACCCCCGCCCAGAAAACAATGTTTTTATTCCATCAACTATTTAACACATTCATTAAGCATCTCTAATGGACCCAAATATTTAACAACCACCCTTTGGACAGAGCCCCTTATTAGGTGTAGCTGAAAGAGAGAAGGTGGTGAGAATGACCCAAACTGCCCCTTAAGATGTAGCCATCGTGGAATAAATCACGTGGTGGCTTTCAAAAAAAAAAGTCATGGCCGTCAAGTAGACTCTGACTCATAGTGACCCTACAGTACAGAGTAAAACTGGTCCTGAGTTGCTATAAACACCTAACAGTTACTAAAACAGTAAAGGACCTGAAACATACTAGATCATCAAAACTTGTTAGCAAACTATCCCAGATGGGGGCCCAAAATTCAGGTTAGTGTCGGTGTGTTCTCGGCTCTGAAGTGATTACTCCATTTGTCGTCGTCGGGGGTCTGTTGCTGCTCTTTCCAGCGACCTCCTTCACACGGGCACTGTCTGCTTTCTGATCGTGTTTCAGAGAGTCTTATTCTCAGATGTTTGATGACTTCACCACAATGCATCTGTGGGCGGCTTCTTTATGTGGCTCTCTGCGGTCCTTAAAGGGCAGGGTAGAGCTACCCCCATGGATTTCCAAGATCAAAAACCTTTACAGGAGTAGAAAGCCTCCTCTTGATCCCTCGAGGCAGCTGGTGGTTTCTAACTGCTCTGGAAAATCCTCAGCATTTTACTCCCTTCCCTCTATCTGTCCTTCCGAGTCTTTGAATGGGCATGTTAATCTATTCTGATTAGATCTCAGCCTAATAACTTGTCACAAAACTCTTCTTTGTATTTATATTAGTACCCGTTCTTTCTGCTTTGTTTTAGATCAGTGGTGCCCAACCTGTGGGTTGTGACCCCTTTGGGGGTCAAATGACCCTTTCACAGGGGTCACCCGATTCATAACAGTAGCAAAATGACAGTTATGAAGTAGCAATGAAAATAATTTTATGGTTGGGGGGGTCACCACCACACGAGGAACTTTATTAAAGGGTCATAGCATTAGAAAGGCTGAGAACCACTGTTTTAGATGAAATTGTCAATGTGAACTTTTAATTCATGAACTCTTCTTCCAACCAAGTGCAGTCTTCTTTCTAATCCCATTTATCGTTGTTGTTTTTAATCAGTATATTTGTAAGGTGTCTGGTTGTTTATTTTCCTTACCTCCCACTTTTGCATTGGTCGCCTACATCCACAGTGAATTTATTTGCATCTTCACGTTTGGACAGCCTGGGACAGGACAGCACCTACGAGGGAAGGAGGAGGCGGCCCGATGATCAACACGTCCACTCTGACCAGAGACTTTCAGAGAAGCGCCCATGGCATGAAGGATGGAGTAGATGTTAACCTTGCTGACCGTGTCCAAGGACAGCAGAAAATGTCCAAGTCCCTGGTGAGTTGTTTTCCGGTATGTTTATTTCACACTTGGTCTTTCAGTGATGCTGACGAGATTTAATAAAGACATGGTGATCTGCTTCTGTACTGAAAACCAAACGACAAAACCAGTCTACGCCATCAAGTCGATCCTGACTCATAAGTGACCCTCTAGGGCAGAGTAGACCGGCCCCCGTGGGTTTCTGAGGCTGTGACTCTTGATGGGGATGGAAAGCTTCATCTGTCTCCTCCCCCTGTTGAGATAATCGCCTAGGAAACCCCACGAGGCAGGTCTACTCTGCCCTGTTCGGTCTCTGTGGGTCACAGTCATTCGCCTTGCCTGCGCATGGCAGCAGCAGTATTTACAGAATCCCTGGATGGCACAAATGATTTAAGTGGCTAGTGGTTCAGAACCACCCAGATGTGTCTGGCAGTCTCCCCAACGGTCACCGCCTTGGAAATCCTCTAGAGCAGTCTACCCTCACATTTGTCTGTGAGTTGTCGTTGACTGTATAGCACGGAAGGCAAAAACAGTGCAAACTAGTTACCCAGAAGTCAGCCAAATGACTTACCACAAGAGAAATTATTCTAACAAATACCCCCTAATCTTTAATCCTTTAAAAGTAGTGGTTCTCAACCTGTGGGTTGTGACCCCATTGGGGTCAAACGACCCTTTCACAGGGGTCGCCCAATTCTTTTTTGTGTGTGTGTGTGATTTGTTTTTATTGAATTTCTGGGGTCAGGGATGGATGAAATCCAACTGCAGTCACCAAAACACTCTGTTCCATCAGACGCACACTAGGAAGCGGTCCGCTGAAAGGCTAGTGGAAGCTCCCAGATTTCCGTGATGCAGCCGGAGCTCAGAGATGCAAACCCTCATTGTCCTGCTGGACAGAGTCCTGGGTGTAGTGTCTGAGAGGAGTGCTGGGGGCTGTCTGCTCAAGAATTAAGGCTCCGTCCTCTTCCATAGGTGAATCCTCATTGATGTTGAGAGACAGCGGCATGGAGTCTGAACCTTGCCATTCCCTGCTTTTTTTGCTCAAGGTTCCTCCAGATGCCCACCCCAATATATCCCCCCGTTATACTGTCAATCTCTTACTTAATCTGTCCTAGAGCATGTGTTCCATGGGGTGGAAGCCCTTCTTAGTTTTTCCCTGTGATCTGTTATCTCAGGCACAGAGAGAGCAGCATCAACACTTAAGGTGCCAATCTAAACTCAGTCCCACTTGATGGTCCACGTAGAGAGAGCCGGAGAGAGAGCGTGAGCAGCAGGGGCTCGCCCAATTCTTAACAGTAGCAAAATGACAGTGATGAAGTAGCAACAAAAATAATTTTATGGTTGGGGGTCACCACAACATGAGGAACTGTATTAAAGGGTCACAGCACTAAGAAGGTTGGAACCACTGTTTTAGGAGAACACTTCTCTGTAAGTAGCAGGCATTTAACCAGCAGGGGCAGTTAACCCCTTGAGTGATAGGGACAAAGGGAACCTGACTGCTCTTAAAGATAGGCATTTCTTAGCTGAGTAGGGAGGTGCTGTTATTATGAGACAGCGCCACATTAATATCAATAGAGGGCAGTTGTGGAGAAAACTATCTGGAGGATGTGTACTTTCAGCTGTATCTATATCCTGCAGACTGGAGGTTTTTCTTCTCACACGAGCGCTGGTCTTCCTAGCCGTGTTCATAAGTGTAGAGATTCGGCCACTTAACACTTCCATCCAGGGTCTCAGTTGGCCACAATGTGTCTTCTGTTTTCTTCACTCTTCAATCATTTGAGGAAATAAACATCTCCTGACTCCTATGATATGGGCTTCAGACTCTCTGGAGAATACGTCCATCTTTTTCTATATCTGTGCATAGAGGGGGATTCTTACGTCCCATTGCTGGTCAAGACCAAAACTTGGATGGCTGGTTACACAAACTCAATCTGCTTTCAAGACAGAACTTTTCCCATACAAAAGGTTCATTTAGCAGCAACTTGATTGAAAGGAGGGAGCAGAGAGTTTTAAAACTCTCTAGAAAACATTGAATCTGGGATTTCTGCAAGTGAATTTGTTGAACCCGATCTGAATGTTCTATTACAGGGCTTGTTACATGCCATTGTGTCAGTTCCACCCATACCCTGTGTGGACAACAGAATGGCGCCCGGCATAGCCCTGCGTCATCCTCACAACTGGAAATTCTCTGTACAGCCCATCAGTGTAACCACTGTGTCTGTACAGCTGGTTGAGGGCCTTCCTCTTGTTCACTGCCCCTGTCCTCTACCAGGCACGATATTCTTCTCCAGGGACTGCTCTCTCCTGACAGCATGGCCAACGTACTTTGGCAGAGTCTCAATCCTTACCTCTAAGAAGGCACTCTGGCTGTATTTCTTTCAAGACAGATTTGTATTTTTTTTCTTTTTTGACAGCCATGGTACTTTGAGTATTCTTCCCTAGCACCCAAATTCAAACACATCGATTCTTCTGTCTTCCTTATTCCATGTCCAGCTTTTGCAATGTATATGAGGTGATTGAAAAGACCATGGCTTGGGTCAGGTGCAGCTCCATCCTCAAAGTAATATCCTTGCTTTTAACGCTCTAAGGAGGTCCTGTGCAAAAGATTTACTCTTGACTTTTTTGATCTTTTGATCTCTTGACTGCTGCTGCTATGAGCACTGATAATGAATCCAAGCAAGATTAAATCTGTGACAGCTTCCTTCTTTTCTCCATTATCACCTTACCTATTGGTGCAATTGCAAGTATTAAGTTCCCCGCAGAGATACACCGAGGCCAGGCTAGAGAGAAAGAAACGGAGAAGTGCTTCTGGGGCGAGATTCACAGATTCACCAACTTCAGCAGCGGGTCAGTGAAGTAACACTGCCTGGGAGGGAGGGGCGAGCAGAGAGAGACAGAAGCCGGCCCCCAAGGCTTAAGCTGGTCTGGAGGGGAGGGTAAAACAATAAAGGGAGAGAGAGTTGCAGCTTAGGGGGCTCTAAGCCGCCTCCATCCATAAGAATTCCAAGGTAAGGTATAGGGTGGTTCTTTGATGCTGAGCAGATGGCTCATTGATCTGGGGCCTTTGCAGTTAGCGGTCTTGGTCCGATGGGGGGTGGGGGGGGGCAGGCTTTTTCTAATGTCCCCCGACCGGTACCTGACCCAACAGTGAGGATTTTGGTTTTCTTTACATTGAACTGTAGTTCACACCAAAAGCTTGATCTTTGTCAGCAAGTGCTTCAAACCTCCTCAGTTTCAGTAAGCAAGGTTTTGTCATCTACATATGAAAAGTTGGTAAGCCTTCCTCCAATCTTGATGCTACTTTGTTTTTCTTTTAAGCCGGCTTCTCTGATTATTTGCACCACATACAGATTGAATGAGTATGGTGAGGAGGATCAACTCTGACACACCTTTGCTGATTTTAAGCCATCAACATTCCCTTTTTTTGTTTGCATAACTGCCTTTTGTACAGGTTCCACATGAGCACAATGAAGTGTTCTGGATTTGAATTCTTAAGGCTAGCCATAGTTTGTTATGATGCACACATTTGATGCCTTCCATAGTCCATAAAACAAAAATAAACATCTTACTGGTATCCTCTGACATCAACCATGATATCCTTTGTTCCAGGCCCTCTTTTGAATCCAGCCTGAACCTCTGGCAGCTCCCTGTCAATGTACTGCTGCAACCATTGTTGGATGATCTTCAGCAAAATTTTACTTGCATGTGATTTAATGAGATTCTTCTACAAAGTGAGCTTTCTGTTGGGTCACTTTTCTTTGGAATGGGTACAAATATCCTGGCATAGACAGTGCTTCATCAGCTTGTGGAAACATTTCAATTGATATTCCATCAATTCCTGGAGCCTTGTTTTTGGCTAATGCTGTCAGTGTACCTTCAGTTTCTACCTTTAGTACCACTGTTTCTGGCTCATAGGCTATTACTACCTCCTGAAATGGTGGAATGTCAAGTCTGGGGGACCAGCCTCCACAGTTGAGAGGGAGCTAAGAAGTGGGTGTGTAATTAAAAGGAAAGAAATAAAGGACAACAGACAAGGCATGCAAGGGCTCACTCACCTCTTCCATGGAGTCTGGAACCAGAGTGAGAGTAATGTAATTTCTCACAAGCTAATATCATCTTGGGCATGCAGGCCATGGTACACACTTATAACAGGAAGGGGTTGTATTAGAGGCATACATGTAACAGGAGGGGGACAAACTAGAGGTATGCACCCAATAGGAAGAGGAGGTACTAGAAGCATACATGTGATAGGAAGGTGCATACTTCTAGAGTTAAGATGAAGTCCCAACCTTGGTTATCTCTGAGCTGGCTTGACCTAGGGTGTGTCTGAGCTCTTCTCCAGGGGAACAATCTCAGGGGAACAATCTGTGATGCTTAACAGAAGGGAGTGGGCCTTACTTAGGCTGGGACAGACAATAGGGTGATTGCTCTTCCTGGCAGACAACCTTCAGGCAAGTAGCCTTCAAGCAGTTCTTTCAAGTGTATATAGTAGCAACCGTGTGCGTTGGCAAAATTGGCATTATTTTGGGGGTGGGGGGGTGGACATCATGGGGAACAACGTTTACTTAGGAGAATGTTACTGGGATGCATCTCCACCCCACGAACATGAAGGCCTCCCTCCACGAGGATCCTGGCCTCCCAGACTCCTTAAAATGAGTGTAGAGAATTTGTCCACGTAGTCTCTCTTCCCAGTTCTCAGTTCCATCAGTCAACTATTTCTTTTTGGTACAGTAACTGTGTATTCCTGCCCTCTTTGGATGCTTTCTGCATCGTTCAGTATTGCTCACTGAATCTGCCAGTATTGCAACTCGAGGCTTACATTTTTCTCTGTTGTAGTTCTTTCAGTTGAAGATATGCTGTGCGTTCCTTCTTTTGCATTTTCTAACTCTAGGTCTTTACATCTTTCATTGTAATATTTTACTTTCTCTTCTTAGGCTGCCCTTTGACATTGTCTGTTCAGCCCTTTCACTGCATCATTTCTCCCATGTGCCTCAGCTGCTTTACGATGAAGAGCACATTTCAGAGTCTTTTGTGGCATCCACTTTGGTCTTTGTCTTCTTTCTAGTCTTTTGAATGACCTTTGCCTTCTTCCGGAATGGTGTCCTTGCTGCCCTCTAACAGCGCATCCGTCTTCTGTCATTAGTGTTCAATGTGTCAAATCTATTCTTAAGATATTCTCAAAACTTTAAGTTCTCAAGGTCATTTTTTGGCTCTTGTGGACGTGTTTGTTTTCAGCTTCAACCTTACCTACATGTGAGCAATTCATGGCCTGCCCACAGCTGGCCAGCCTGGTTTTAGCTGCTGATATTACACTTCTCCTTTGTCTCTTCCCACACATGTAGTTAATTTGGTTTGTGTGTGTTCCTCTGGAAAAGTCCATGTGTAGAGTCACTGTGTTGTTGAAAAAAGATGTTTCCTATGAACATTGGTCTCGCAAAATTCTATCATGCAATCAAGCTTCTGTTCATCACCATGACCATATTTTCCAACTGCTTTTCCTTTCTGTGTTTCCGACTTTTGCATTCCAATTACCAATAGTAAATAATCATGATCAATTACAGAGCTTAGTGTCATTCCAAGATGTGGTTGTAGTCTTCACCTGGGAAGAATGGCAGCTACTGGACTCGGTTCAGAAGAACCTCTACAAAGATGTCATGTTGGAGAATTATAGCAACCTAGTATCATTAGGTAAGTGGAACTTCACTGATTGCCATAGTAAACCCAATCAATTGCTTTTCCATTTACAATGTTAAAAGAGGCTGGGCTTCATGAGTCCATTCAATTTGTAGACTCGAGTGTCATATGTCATAGATCAGGGGTCCTCAAACTACGGTCCGAGGGCCCCATGCGGCCCACTGAGGACATTTATCCAGCCCGCTGGGTGTTTTTGCCGCCGCTGCCTGCCCTGCTTAGCAGCCAACTCGTCCAGTGTGCATAGGAATTTGTTCATAGTTGTTTTTTAAACTATAGTCTGGCCCTCCAACGGTCTGAGGGACAGTAAACTGGCCCCCTGTTTAAAGAGTCTGAGGACCCCTGCCCTAGATTCTTAGTAGTTTCTGATTCCTGAGAGTTTTGCCCTCATCTGTACAGAAAGGCCTTTTACTTTATCAAAGTGCACACGGTCCAGCTCCTTAAATGTCCTAATTCTTCAGAAATCTTGTATCACAAGTTGTGTCCACTAACTTGGCTGACAAGTGTATTGGTCCTGTGACTAGGGTACCAGGCTACGAAAGCAGATGTGGCCATCCATTTGCAACAAGGAAAACCATGGGTGGGAGAGGAAGAAATCCAAAGTCCAGTACATCCAGGTGAGTAAGTGATCAAATAACCTATGGGCAAAATAGGAGTTAAACCATCAATAATAGGGAGGTACTCTGAAATGTTTGGGAAAATCTTCCTGAAATTCTTAAACCTTGGAAAAAACCATCTGGGACAAGTTCTTCATGTTGCTTCTATTTTTTAATCTCCTTGTATTCTGTATGGGAACTCTTTTTCTTTTTTTCTTAGTGGGGAGGGGAGGGTGTGTGTATGTGAATTTTGCTTAAAAGTTGTGTTTTTAATCACATGTATTTTAAAACCTTATGAAAATATACTTAATACCATCTCAATAATTTTCGACATGCAGAATTCAGTGACATTGACTACATTTTTCAGATTGTGATCCATTCTCACTACCTTATTGCAAATTGTTTTACCACCATAAACTCAATACCCCCTATTTGGCTTGATCTTTTATAATAAGACACTTCTTTCTTTTCTATACTCCGATCAGATTCCTTTTTGTCTGCTCATGGAACATACTTTCCTCATTAATCTTTTTCTCTAGACTTCTCAATTTTTTGGTATCGTCTAATGCATGCCATACCTGTGCACCCTCTTCTTATATGTTAAAGCACTCATGAATTTCCGCTTCTCAAGTTGTGACTGCTCATACCTCTGTAATGCCTTGGACTTTTGTACTGTACCCAGAGTCTAATTTCTTCTCCTTTCCTTGACCTTTGCTACGAGATTCTACTTCTGTTACATGATCGTGGTTGATTCATTGGTTTCCTTTCTAGAAGATGCCTGGCAAGTTGAACAATCAGAATGGTACCAAGACAACCAAGGCAAACTTGAAATGATGGAGAGTCACCGCAAAAATGATGAATTTGGGAAAATGTCTCATCCAAGCTCAAGCATCGATGTTCCTTTACAGTATACATCTTATATATTTGGAAAACATTGGAAATCAAATCCAGAATACATTATTCAGAATAGAAACTATGTAATAAATGAAGCTGATTTTAATGAATATAACAAGTTATTTCCTCATACTAAATATGACACAACTCATAATGGATCGAAATACAGAGTATATAATGAATGCACAAAATCTTTCCACCATAAATCACAGCTTGTTAAAAACTGGAAAAGTCAAGCAAGACAAAAGCCCTATTATTGCAGTGAATGTGGAAAAACCTTCTCTCAGAAGTCAGACCTCATTAAGCATCATAGAATCCACACAGGTGAGAGACCCTATGGCTGCAATAAATGTCTGAAAGCCTTCAGGAGAAAGTCCCATCTCATTTTACACCTGCGAACCCATACAGGAGAGAGACCTTACAAATGCAATACCTGTGGTAAAGCCTTTATTGATAAGTCATGCCTTAATAAACACCAGAGAATTCACACAGTAGAGAAACGGTTTGTGTGTAGTCTATGTCAGAAAAGCTTCAAGGATAAATCACAACTTAATCTGCATAAAAGAAATCATACAGGAGAGAAACCTCACAGGTGTAATGAATGTCAAAGAAGCTTCAACAGTAAATCACAACTCATTAACCATCAAAGAACTCACACAGGAGAGAAACCTTTTGGGTGCAGTGAATGTGGCAAAACATTCCCCTTTAAGTTTAGTCTCGTTTTACATCAGAAAATTCATACAGGAGAGAAACCCTATGTATGCAGGGAATGTGGGAAAGCCTTCATCCAGAATTCTAAACTCACCAGACACCAGAGAATTCACACAGGGGAGAAACGTTTTAGTTGCAGTGAATGTGGAAAAGGCTTTAATGGAAAGTCAGTTCTTAATACACATCAGAGAACTCACACAGGAGAGAAACCCTACGGATGCGATGAATGTGGGAAAACGTTCCGAATAAAGTTAAGTTTTATTTTACATCAAAGAACACATATAGGTGAGAGACCCTATGAATGCAATCAGTGCCCGAAATCTTTCACCCAAAAATCAAACCTCACTACTCATCAGAGGTCTCACAATGGTGAGAAACCTTATGCATGTGGTGAATGTCAGAAAGCCTTCAGCCGGAAGTCATCTCTCCTTATGCACCAGAGAATTCACTCAGGAGAGAAACCTTATGAATGCATTGAATGTGGAAAAGCGTTTTCCTCCAAGTTTAGCCTTGTGGTTCACCAGAGAACTCACACAGGAGAGAAACCTTATGAATGTGGTGTCTGTCAGAAATCTTTTGCTCAGAAATCGCAACTTCTCAGACACCAAGGCACTCACACGGGGGAGAAACCTTATAAATGCAGTGAGTGTTGGAAAACTTTCTCCCACAAATGTAGACTCCTTTTACATCAGAAAAGTCACGGAGGAGAGGAACCACAGATATGAATATCTGAAAGTTAATGAGAATGTATAGTTCATTGTATCACAGTTTATTAGAGGAGTGGGACACAAGACTGCATTGAATGCAAATAAGCTTTTTTCAAGCAGACACCTTTATACCCATCAGAGGACTACTATACAAGATTGAATTCTGGGCATGAAAAAATGCCTTTTCCAATAAATGTCAATTGAGTATAGCCTAAAGACTTCAAGCAGAAAGGATTATCTCTGTGTTTAATCATTGTGTGGGTGATGATAGCATGAAATTAAACTACACTATCAGACAATTGATATTGTTTGAATTGTGTTCCTATATAATTGGCCCAGTGACATGAGATATCTGTCTTCACGATCGTGAAAAATCACCATCAACGCTAGCCCAGAGCTGATTATGAGATGGGGGATAAATCTACCATCTCTTTTTTTTTTTTATCCCCCATTTCTGTGATTAGCCATCCCTCCCACTTCTCTTCTGGGTTTTATAAGTTATTGAAGTGGTCACACTGAACTCAAAGACCATACTATTATGGGGTTTAATGGGAAAGCAGCAGGTTTCAATTAAGGATAAGGGAAGACTAACACTGCTCTTTTGTCAGGACTTCTCCCTCAGCCCCTGGGCCCCTCAGCTTGGCTTCTGCTCTGCTGGGTGAAGTCCTGCAAAATTATTTAACTCTGCCAATAAGTCCTCAGAGGCATCCCACTGCCCAGCAGCCTCCTGATGGATGACAACATGCCCACTGAAATCCCTTCAGTGGCGGAGGAGAGCCCCGCCTGCTGTCTCTTAGTTTTGTTTCAACTGCCACCACTTCTCTTACTCTGATGCCATTGCCACTGTTAACAGGTCGCTCTCTGTCTCAATGGCTTGGTAGACACATGTGACTTCCTGTAAGTTTTGCAAGTAGTAAGGAAAGTGAGTAACAGTAACCCAAGGTTAATTCATATGAAGCTGTGGTAAGACATAACTCCTCCCTTCAACCTTCTTACCAAGTCACCAGTCATCCCAAAGTGCCCTGAGGCACCATTCTCTGCCAGGGAACCTCCTGACTGAAGACTTGGATTGGGAAGCTCCCTGCACAGGATCTTGCTGATCACCTGATTCTGCCGCTGCCAGTTCTGTGTTGCTGCTACAAACCGTCTTAACTTCTATCGTGTTACAGTTTTCCATCTTTTGGGTCTACGAAGTTCTCTTCACAGGTACAGTTTGTAGAGTGGACATGTTCTTCCAACTCTCTCTTAATGGTAATAGGTCCCCCCTTGTCTCTTTGCTTCTCTATATCTTACTTCTCACAACCCAAGCAGGGGTGTGACTTCAGTAAGGCCGTGAAGTATAGCTATTTGAATACAGTGGTTTGAGTCATACCCTCTGGTAAGCTTGCAGCCACATGAATTACTATGGCTTTTGTCATGTCTGTAAGGAGCCTTAGTGGCTTAGTGGGTTCTCTGTTTGGCTGCTAATTTCCAACATCAATGTTTAAAACTCCGTCTTATCTGTAGGAGAAAGATGAGGCTTTCTGCTCCCGTAAGGATTTATAGACCAGGGTGTGCACAAGGGCCAGTGCTACCAGGTCACAAAGGGTGGCTATGAGTTGGGGTCCACTTGGTGGCTGCGAGTTTGGTGTTTTTGAGCCACAGTCTGTGATTCCCACCAGAAGCGTAGGTGGGACCATGCAGAGAAAATAGGGCTTATTTCCTCTGTTCCTAATGAGTCTAGGAAAGAGAAGGTAGGGGAAGATGCTGATAGAGTTGTATGATTCCATTGTGAGTGGTGGTTATGGCTGAATTGCAGCTGTAAAAACTTGGAACTCTGAAGGTGGGGATTGGTCAGTTTTGCCATCCTGCTGGGTATTGCCCCGTTCCAGAACCAGGAGTCGGGAAATCTCACCGATACCAAGAAAGAAGTGGCAAGAGTGGAGCACATCCTCTGGACACTAAGGGCCCTGCATGCTGAATTTCCCAAATCCAAGCGGGGGAACTGTGAAAATAGAGGAAATGCAGCAGCAGGGACAGAATACGAAGAAACTAAAGCAAATATTAAGAAATATTCTATATTTTTATGAATGTCAGGAATCATTTTCTCATTGATACCACTTTATAAAGGAAATTATTTACCTTTAAAATTTACCTTTAGTGTGACAAACCAAATCTATACTGGGTACCCTCAAGTCAATTCCAGCTCAGTGACCCACAGGGCAGGGTAGAACTGCCCCTATGGGTTTTTAAAAATAACTTTAAAATAGTCATAAGCCTCATCTTTCCCCTAAGGAGTGGCAGGTTTTGACCATCTTAAATTTGTATATGAATACACCTGTCAGAAAGCAAAAAAACAAATCTGGGAACAGTCTCTATGTAATCATTTGTATATTTTTATAAAACTAAATCACATTTAGAAGTTGCATGCTAGTGTAAGAATTGAGAATACGTAATACATATGTTTAAACATTTTCTCATCTACATTGAGACTTTACATCATCATCGAACCTAAATTGTAATTAGACTGCAAGGACTCATTATTTTAATATGAAATTCCAATAAAATATCTTTTTTTTTTTTTTTAAGTTTGCTATGTATTGGTATTCTGAGTGGGTGGGGAAGTTTTTGTGCCCCTTGAGGAAAAAGTATATTTCATCAATTTATAGATGCACATTTCAAGGAAGAAGAAAAACTAGTAACAAACAGTAGCTGAAGGATGATTGCATGGAGGCTGTGATAAGGCATACCTCCTTCCGCCAACCTTTTTCACCTATTCACGTCATCCCAAAGTGCCCTGAAGACATGGATTCTGACCCACAGGAAGTGGTATCTAGTTAGTAGTATGGAATATTCAAGCAGAGAAACCTTTCTGGGTGGTAGATATAAAATAGTGTGCTATTTAGCCAGCGGCTTCTGAGATTGGATGAGATGCATTAGAAATCATGTTAATAAGGGTTGTTGTTTTTTCTACATTTAAAGAGGAGGAGGACGCTGAGCAAGATGCACTGACACAGTGGCTGTGACAATGGGCTGAAACACCTAACAGTTGTGAGAAGGGGCAGAATCGGCTGATTTTACTCTCTCTCCTGCACATGTAGTGGCTCTGTGAGTTGGAACCAACTCAGCAGCACCTAACCATGATTTAGGTGGGCCTTGGCAGCACAGAGGTTATGAGTTAGCCTGCTAACCACAAAGTCAGCAGTTCAAAGCCACCCGCTGCTCAGTGGGAGAGAGCGACGAGGCTTTCTACTCCTGTAAAGAGTTACCATCTTAGGTACCATCCTGAGTTACTCAAAGGGAGTTTGGTTTGGGGCTGGGATTTAGTGGTTAAGAAAGAACTCACCTGCTGCCTAAAAGGTTGATGGTTCGAATCCAGCGGCTCTGGGAGAAAGTGGGACGGTCTGCTTTCATGAAGATGACCGCTTTAAAACCTCTGAGGCAGTTCTCTTTCATCAGGGCTGTGAATATGAGAGGTTCTTATATAATAAAGAATTTGTCTCGCTGTTGTCTCTGGTTTCTGAGAAGTAACCACAACCACTGCTAGTTGCCACCACTTAGGGCAACCCCCTGTGATCGGTGTGTTCCATAGAGAAGCAGTCATTGTAGATAGCTGTGGGTGGACCGCAGCCTCCCACTAAGCCTTCTGGATTTCACATGGGATGAGAGTGTATTTCTATGAGAAAGTGGTATGGGTCTGGTTTCTGACTTCTGCCTGTACAACGAGGAAGGAGAATCTGAACCGCAGCTCCAGGCCGATTCCTATGAAGCAGAGGTCAGACCTGCCTGCATGTGCCACATTGCTTCATTGTGTAGCCCACTGCCCGCCCTAAAGAACTGTCTACTTCTCAGCTGGGTTTAAAACTCAATGATTGCAATAACCACACAGAACTCACAATACTCAAGATTAGGGGGGTGATTAGGGAAGTTAACAGGTAATTTAGGGTCAGAAATGTTCGAGTTTCTTATCATTTAGCCATGCAGCTTATGCCCAGCTTGGGCAATGTTAAAAAAACTCTTTTGAGATTTTCTGGTAAATGCCCCAAAGCTACTCTGTTACTTCCAGAAAGCCTCTATCTGAAGGTGCTCCGCTCTAGCTCTGTCAACAAAACGATTTTCCTTGATTGAAGGATCTGGAGACCACCCATTGTACCAGCCAGCCTGTTACTCAAAGCCCCTGAATAGTTTTGCCGTCTTGGCCAGGAAACCTACTGCTCTGCCTCACACTCTTGGTTCTGCTGCCTTTGCTTGTCTGGGGTTACAGCGGTCTCCTGGTTCAAGGCAGCATCTTGTGATCTTTACTAAAGGACACCCTCCACTGGCACTTTCACTGAGATGGCTCAGTTAATTTAGAAGGATGCGGGGGACCAGCCTCCACAACCGAACTGGGTCCTAAGGGGCAGTTGTGTAATTGGAGGGTAAATTAAAGAAAATTCAGACTAGGCATGCAAGGGCTCACCTCTTCCATGGAGACCACAACCAGAGTGAGGGCCAATGTATTCTCCAACAGGCTTATATATAGTCCTGGGCTAGCAAGTTCCAGTAGACAAACAACCGGAAGGGGATGTGCTAGCGGCATATACATGACGGGAAGGTACATACGTAACATGATCTGTGGGTTCTATAGAGTTAAGATGGCAGCTTAACCTGGGTTGTTTTGAAGCTGGCTTGAACCTGTGTCCATAAGCTCTTCTCCCAGGGAGCAATCTTTGATTCTTATCAGAAGGTAGTGGCCCTTTGGGCTAGTCTGATTGGTGTTGATGCAGATGACAGATAACCTTCGTGCAGATAACCTTCAAGTGTATAGTAGCAGCCATATGCTTGCAAGCAGCATCTTAAAATTTCCATTATTACAGGGGACATTGTGGTGAATAACTTTAAGACAATGTGACTGGGATTCATCTCCGACTCACAGCTGTGAAGACCTCTCTCCATGAGAGTCCAGACTCCTTAAATTAGAGCCTAAATAATTTGTATACACTCTCTTACCGATTCTCAGTTTCCCACAGAAGGATGGCAACACTGATCACCCCCCCACCCCATGTCTAGAGTTCTATTCACCCTGTGATATGGTCTCACCCCACTTGGGTGTAGTGTAAATAAAAATCTACATGATTAACAAATGATCTTATCCCCTTGGTGGGCCACAAACACCTCACATTTGCAAAGTTCTACCCAGTCATTTGGTGAGAATTACAAAGTCTGACTAGAAGAGCCAGGCCAGATAATTCACTCTACCACAGTTACTCTAAATAAATTACATTAAGGAGAGGCCTCAGCGTGGGTACTAGCTGCTTTGGAAGACCAAGTAGGTGATTAGAAGG